TATTAAATTTATATGACACCAATATCACCGTCAAGCAATATAAAAACATTACATAAAACAATAAGAACAGTAAAAACATTAAAATATTCAATATTAAGTGTTAAAGCAACTACATTAAAATCAACCAAGATACCTATAACGGAACCAATATGTAAACATGGTGGAGACATACTTTCCCTAATCTACTAACCTTATTTTAACTTTAGGGTGAAAATCTAAAGGCTGAACATTTTTATCTTGACTACAGTGTGAGAATGGAATTCTTTTTCTAGCTTTTTTTTTTTAACTGAAAATTATTGCAATTTATAACTCATTATGGAATGAGACGAATCCAATATAAAGTAATACCAAAGTAGTTTGATATAAAAAGGGAAGTTAGTTACATACCAGACATGTTGCCGTTTTCATGCTTTTTGAGATGTCTGTCTAAGTTGGTTTGTTGGCCAAAGCACCTGTCACATAAATGACATTTAAAGGGTTTCTCCTTGTTGTGGATATTCCGGACATGCCTCTGTAGATTAGATGATATGCTGAAAGACCTGTCACAGTATTTGCACCTGAAAATAAATATCAAATACGAAAGAATAGATAACTAATCCAGCAATACTCTCCTGATATAAAAACAGAAGTTTTTTTTAAAAAAAAGTTATTTCCAGTTATCAACAATGTTCAATTCCTTGACTCTGTAATTCGTAAGTTTGTTTTATTCTATAAACCTGGATTGAAGTAGGTCTTATGAATGCAGTGATAGCACCCGAATACCAAATGGTTTGAATATTTTATCCTGCTGGAACCCAGTCCCATCAGAAAGGGCAATGCTGAGAGAATGTACTCCTTTTCTTTCATACCAATGCAAGAAACATCCCTGCTGGCTCTTATGCAAGCATTTTGTTCCTCAAGTGGCTAGCCAGATGTCCCTGCAGTGTTCACATACAAAGATGCTTGACCCATAGCAAAGGCAACTGAACCTTCAAGACTAACGGACCTCAAAGAATCGATCTGCTATGAATTTATTCAATCCTTTTTTTAAAAAGCCATTCATTCAAGATGGCTGTTATGATATATTCCATAGGTTAATTTTGTGTAAGCTGTTTTTTTTGTTTGTTTATGTTGTTGTTCTACAGAAAATGCTTTATTACATGACACAAAACAAAGTTTCGAAAGAGAGAGAAAAATTCATTTTTTTTCATCCATTTGAAATTCATTTTTCACACCCATCCATTTTTTTATATTCTGCTGTTCCCAAATTAGTCTGTAATCCATTTGTGCGATATTATATCCAGACTTGCTGGAAATATTTCCAATAATTTTAGGCAAATAATGTCTCTCCAACCTCCCTTTTTTAAACACATATACACATATGTAGAAAGTTTATAAAAATGTTTTTCAGTTTAACATAAATGAAGAAACCCAGTGTTTTAGCGTAAAAAATGTATAACTTTCAGAATAATATATTTCCATTGTATATGTTAAAAAGCATGGTGCCAAAGTTTTGAATGTACAAAGAAACATGAGATTTTTGTTTCAACCCATTGTCAATATGATAAAGCTAACCAGTTGGGAGAAGAAAACCTGAAACTTCTAAGATTAAGGAGGGATGGTACTTTTTCCCCTATTCAATGTTATACTGTATGAAAAAAAAATCTCCCTTGAAAAATTAGCTTTTTTCAATGGCTAATCCTGCAGGAAATACAGTTATCTCCCCAAATGCAGAAATAAACAATCCAAATCTTTAATATCTTGCCAAAATGAGTAGTTTAGTCTATCTCTTGGGTACTAGAGGCATCAATTTTCATATTCTGCAGTCATTTGAAATCCCCAAAGCCTTTACTGCATTGCTCTTTAAGCCATTACTAAGACATACTATAACTATTCCAAATTGTTTAGTTGGCACCTGGCCAAAAGGCTACATCAACATCATCCTTTCCTTTCTCCAACCGTCTATTTTTCCTGTATTTCAAAACATCTCTGCTACTTTGTGCATTAAGTCAATTATTGAGGGAAGAAATTATGCATTACATGGCTAATTGTTTCTGGCTGTTAGGCAGTAGAAGCGCATAACAGATTTTAAGACATGATTTAAAACATGAATTAAATTACATGAAAGACGTCTTCTCAAATAAATTCAGGACTAAGGAAAATCAAACAATGTACTTTTTCTCCTTTCTTTGTAAGGCAAAACCAATATATACCAATATACTTCATTTAAAACTGGGGATGAGTTCCTTCCCATTGATTTCATGAAATAGAATTTCAGTTCAATTTTTTTTTTAAATTTCATTTCAATAAATGAATAGTATCCATATGTCTTATTTTCATGAGTTCTCCTGATTAAGAGACTGATAGAATTTACCAACAGAGAAGTAATTTAAAAGATAAAGACATGATGCTAAACAATAGGAACCATTTTTGGAAAGTTTGCTTGATGTTTGCTTGCTGCTTGATAAGACTTGCTAATATTTCATAAAATTTTGTTGAAGTACCCTGGAATCTATTTTGGTACATATTAATTATAATCTATTGTCAATTATATTCAATGGAGCACATTCCAAAACTTTGATTTACTTGTATTAGGTAGTGAGTTTTCGTGGTCAAAGGCTGAAGAAGCAGCTCTAATATCGAATATTGACAATAATCTTTTTCAAATAAGAGAAACATGGTTATTTCTGTCCGCACACCAGCCAAATATACACCAATTCGTTTATCTTGTACCTGTATGGCTGTTCTCCAGTGTGTGTCCTCAGATGCCGAGTCAGATTTGCAGATCTTGGAAAAATCTTGCCACAGTATCTATCATTGGAAAATAATTAATAATAATTTATTTTACACTATGTAAAGAAATTTCTGGTTTAGATATCACTTCAAACAAATCTTGAACAGAAACATTTCTAGGATATTTTAAAATTTCTGAAAATAGGCATGATAAATAAATTACATTAAAGCATTTACAGAATGAAGTAGCAATTTACCAAAGTATCTCTGCACAATATCTGATAAACAAGTTTTCAATTTACTATTCCCTTTATTAAAATAATCTCGATAATGGATTTGAAATATATTTTTAAGGGGCTCAGAATTTAGATTAATGGAAACTTATTTTAAATTGTTTGTTATATCTGGTGAACTATAAAATTGTTTGTTATATCTGGTGAACTGAAATATCACTAGATTATTGAGACCAAGTCTTTTAAGATTCTCTAAAGATATCCTATGAAAGAAACTGAAATATTTATGAATCTGATATGCCAAATATTAAATACATATGCTTACATTCTGATAAAGAGCCGAGATACAAGCAACAGATTTTAAAAAATAATAGAAGTGGAACTTTCTAATAGCAGTAGCATATTTTTTTAGAAAAAACTCTTCCAAAAAATATTTATGAACGTGAAATACTAAAGACAAGTGAATTTTACTTTTTGACCAAGCAAAGCTAATCTGAGTAATGCCATATTTCCAAATCTGGTATCTTTCTTATGAATATGAAGAAATGGATGCTACAAAAAGTGGGCATGAATTGTGAATTAGCAGACTTTCTGGCATAGTAAACATTTAAATAATGAAGGCACCCATTCCTGTGATTATTTAAATTCCTCTTTCTACTTGTGTCCCATAAGGTATCCTTTAACTTTATTGCACAATGTGTATGTTTGGATACAAATGTTATGTGTCATTACTTCTAAGCTATAGATTTGGTCTTCTTGGTCTAAGTCCCATAGTCACCATAATTCACATACATGAAACGTGTATGTGTGTGAGTTTATGCTAGGCAAACTAGTTAAGTATTGGAGGATTAATTTGCAAGATCTCGGACAATTTCATCTTGATTTCTTGACACTTTTTTCTAGATTTCTATTAAAAATCATACAGATGGAAACAAAATAACAACATAGTCCATGGTATCTATTTCCTTTTCCATAACATGTTTCATGCCAGAAAGGAAGCATATACTATATACATTCGCAGATAAGCTGAGAATTTTAGGTAACAAAATACACTCCCAAAATTGAGTTTGGCTTATCCACAAATGAGCTTATCTGCTGTTCCTTTACTTTTATTAAAATATCTGTAAATAACTCTTGAATTCTTAATTGAAACACCATTAAAAGTGGCACACCCCGAGATAAACCAATCGTGGAAAAGTAAAACATGAAAATTTGATGATTAGCTTATGTGGGTTTTTGCTTTTTTCATGACATTTTCATTAA